AGAAGATGCCCCAGACTCTCCCCTCCCCCGAACATCCACATGGGGTAACATGAGGGATTGCTATAAGTATAGCTGTTGTGACAGGAAATTCCAATAATATATTCGTACTCTCACAAGACTGCATACGAAGAAAGCCCATCCTATCGAGTACAACAGAGTGTTGGCAATAAGTGTGCCGCACTCGTAAGCAGAAGCTATCAGCACACTTGCCGACGTCGAAGTTGCTTTGCTTCAGAACCAGAATAACTTTTTGCAAGATATGGTGGCGGCAACAGGGCTGAACCTCATTGTACTTCAATATTCTCTGCGAAAACTGCCGCGATCAAAAATGGCTCTACAATATGCCTAAAATTTGGGTACAGATTATTTTTCAATTATATCAGATTCCCTATCTGTGATAATGGTGTTGAAAATGAAAAATTTCGACTGTAACAACGTCTATTCTGATTGGTCGCACAGTATATAGGTACTATACAATATTTCTAGTGGCGCTCGCGTAAAACTCGTGTATGTAGAAAATGTCATCATGGTATTTCCTCCAATAAAAGGGTGTGCGAACTGACCGAATCAAGTATAATGTCAGACAGAAAATTTTCAGTCGGCAGCAGCCTCCAAGGAACCACAGTTAAAAGGGACACAAACCCTACAAAGCGGTCTACAAAGTATTCAAGAATTCTACCCTGCATATCACGTAGTCAAAGGCACAACTACATTAATATTCCAAGAAAATACACTTCATCACCGCCCGTGCAAAAATTCTGCCATTCCTTTTCCACTTAGCTAGGTTGTATCTGATTCAGTCAGATCTATGCGAATTCTGCAATATGGAAGGTGACTTAAATCTTTGGATGTTATAGAATAAAGACACCTTCTGATGCTCTTCACATGGATCTTATACGCAGTGGGTTAACTGCTCCTCTAAATCTAGAGTATGTAATTATTTATTCAAAATAAAGGCATCCTGGAAAAAGTAATAAAATTTCTCAAAACTTCTGGCATGTGGAATCAGAAAATATTTTAAGCGAGTTTAAATAATCTGTTTCTGGCTAATTGGCAGACAGTCTAGGGCCAATTACAAAAAAAAATACTGAGTGCAGATGGGGAAGATGGTAAATTGTTCCCCGTTGGCCCCCAAAACTCAATCTGGGGGTTTATCAGAATTGTGAACAAAATATCTCCATCATCATCTACAACATATATTGAGACAGACGGACATGATTTGCTGACGAGTACTCAAGGCCCCTTGGGGAGCTTACTGCAACAGAGTCTACAGGAATTCTACGCACGGATTAGCCATATCTCTCAAATCTTAGGTTTCCTTGTACTTTAGTCTTTAAGACATAAAATGATAGAAAAATGTTTTCTATACGCGTCTCCTTATGCCATGTGGGCTCAGTACTCGGCGTAACGGTCTGTCCTCTTCATACTTCGGCGGTCCTTCGGTAGGTGCTACCGCGTCTGACGTTGCGGGAAGGGTCAACGGGTCAACGTTGCCAGATGGACGGTAATTTCCGGTAGGGCAGCAAAGAAATAGACTAATTGTATGGGACTGTTTGACTGACTTGATCCGTTTAATTTCTCTATTCTACATACTCACAACTAATGTTTTTCTCAGATGGATTAATTTGCGTAAGGAAGTGCAGAGTCAACTTGCTTGATTTTATTTTATTTTCAGTGTTGCCATTCATTACGGTTTGAACCAATCCACTTTAGTTAAATTTGGCCGGGCCCTTCAAAAAGATCAACATTTTTGGGATTCTTGAGAATGTCTTATAATGTAAAATTATTGCTTTTATTTATCTTAAGCAGTTAATAACGTCTCTAGACGCAAAAAGACTTGTTAAAGTGACGACGTTTGAGAAAACTCTACAACGGTGGGTATTTCGTTTTACTACCGTGACTGGTTATACAAGCACGTATCTATGAAGGCAGATAAATTATGAGATATTTGCAGCATAAAACATAGTGACAAAGACAGTATAATACCCAATAAAAATCGTTTTGTTTCGGATTAAATTTTATATATAGTTAGACGTAGGCAAGAGAAAGCCGAGATTACATTTTGAAGAATATACTGGATTGGATTTAAGTTTATCTAATAATCTGCTAAGGTGACCCCGATACGTTATACAGCCGTCTAGTCATCAGCACGGGTAATGTAAAAACCTATAAGACGTCAAACAAAACCCATAAAATGTCATCTTGCAGACTAGGTAGTTTTTAGGGTGCCAACAGTCATTACACGTTTGCTCACTAGGATCGTTGTGAGCGACCATCTATAAAGGAATGGCTTAATTACACCACTACACGCATTGTTGGTTGCATATGAAGCCGAGTAGTCTATAGTTTTCATCTCAGAGAAGAAATCTGGTTGAACAGCAAGGTCGCTTCTGGATGATTGATTGTGTGTATTGGTCTGCATGTGTATAAAATCTGTGCTGCTTGCTGTGTGAGAAAGTCATTACTGAATATGCTGCCAATGAAGTACATCTATTAGCTGTGCCCGACGGGTTATTTATATGTTGTCCCTTCTGAAGACAGGTTATGTTCAAGATTCTAAATTACGATTTTTTACATTTTTTTGTGCTTTCAAAAACTGAGGAGAATTTCCGGACATCACCACCGCGGCCGGGTTGTGTGTAATTAGTGTTAGCATGTATATGACTTGCAATTCGACAATGTACAGTGAATATAATTATTTCTTATGTCTCTCATTTTTTAAATTCAGCAAATTTGCATATGTATTTTCCACAATAGATGAGAAAAAGTGGATGCGCAACTAATTTTTACTTTTGAATCTCAAGTAATGTATTTGAGACAAAAATTCAATGGAATTATCATCAACACATTATTAGCACACAAATCATCATTAAGAACCTATGCTTTATCGTTACCTCCAGTAATGCTACCTCTGAAGCAGATGTTACATTACATCAGTGCCAAGCATTGATAACTGAAGCCTCATGACGCTTAGATAACTACACCACGCGATACGTAGTACCCGTGCGGGACATGTTTCTGAACAGATAGCTTGTCTTCTCAAACTAGAGGTACTGCTTTCAAAAGAGCTGCTAGTGTATGTGCAGAATGAGGTAAAAAGATCATTCTTCTTTGTGCCATATCCCATACATGTTGAAAGGTGACAGGTGTAGTAGACCTAAGAGACCTAGAAAGGAGACTGACTGAATCGTTATTATGGTAGTTTTTGTAGCTCTAGCAATTTGGATAGAGGCAGTATTTTGTGAGAGAATAGTGTTGACAAGCGGTTGGGAAATGGCAACAAATGGTGGTCCAGTATCAAACACTAGCAACTCTTCGGAGGTACAGCTAACTTGAGAAAACAGGAATCATCTCCTCGGAAGTATGCCTGCGACATGATGCATATATACTAATATACTAAGTGACATATAAATCCGAACACCCAGTTTAAATGGTTTTATTTTGATAAAAGTTGGTGAATGTATTTATCTTACTGTAAATAACAAGTGAAAAAATTGTCAGCCTTATCAGTTGGACATTCCGGTTTTTATACTGCTTTCTTTTTAATTCACTAACGCTCTAAAAATGAATATTTCAGCCGCAGTAAAGAATCAACGTTGGCGGATTTTGGTTCTTGACATCCTTTACGATCGGTTACGATGCCTAGAGTACGGAGAGCTGTACGATTTCGTCAACTTAGTGAGTTTGATAGGGGCCGTATAGTGGGACTTCGGGAAGCTGGACTTCTTTTCGGGCAATTGCAGTTAGAGTGCAAAGAAGTGTAGACACTGTGGTTAGGTGTTGTCAGGCATGGCTTCGAGAAGGCCGTACGCAAAGAGCAAGGGGCACTGGACGCCGCCGTAGAACAACAGACCGTGAAGATCGCCGCCTAAGATTATTGGCCTTAAGGGACCGTTTCTCCACTACCAGGTCCATCGCAAATGAATGGTTTGCAGAACACGGAAAACCTATTGGCATGCGAAGTGTTTACCGACGAATGAGAAGTTTTGGCTTGTTTTCATACCGGCCACACTGGGTCCTCCCTTTAACTCGAGAACACCGACGTAATCGCCTTGAGTGGTGCAGACAACGGTCACTGTGGGATCAGGAATGGAACAGTATTGTCTTTAGTGACGAGTCTCGATTTTGTTTAGGCATGCACGATGGTCGTGCCAGGGTTAGAAGGCGACGTGGTGAAAGGAGGAATCCACAGTTTCTTATTGAAAGACATGTTCATCACACTGTTCGAGTTATGGTTAGGGGTGCTACAGCGTATGGTTCCAGGTCACCTTTAATATTCATCAACATGAACGCGCAGCGTTATATCCACGAAGTTCTAGAACCCCATCTTTTACCCAATCTTGATACCCTGGCAGATCCAACTTTCCAACAAGGTAATTCCCGACCACATGTTGCAAGAGTCACAATAGACTTATTACAACATAATGATCTCACATTGTTACCATGGCCACCAAGATCTCCCGACTTATCCCCAATTGAGCACGTGTGGGATATGATGGGTAGGAGATTTCTCAGTTTGCAACGTCCTCCTCAGACTCTAGAAGCACTTCGAGAGGAGTTGGTGGTTGCCTGGAATGAGATACCACAGGAGGACATTGACCACCTGATCAGAAGCATGCCTAGGCGCGTTGGAGAATGCGTAGCACATCAGGGTGCATCCACACATTATTAAAGGTCAAAGGGCTTTAAAGCAGTGCATTCATTTTGAAATTTTTATCATTTACTTATTATGCTTCATTAAGTACTTATGCAAAATTTTATTAAAATAAAACCATTTAAACTGGGTGTTCGGATTTATATGTCACTTAGTATACATTATCAGATGGCCCAACATACTATTATTAATGATTTCGAGGAATAGAGCAAAAGTTTTGACTTCAATATTCAATCGTGACTTCCTATTAACTACTGACTATACATAAAATTTCAATCAAATTGAATTATTCTTACAGGGTGTGCTACTTTCTTTGTCATTGAATATATAAGAACTCGTTTGTTCCAGATTTTAAATGGCATTACCAAACACAACAGCAAAAGCCGCGTTGGCGATAGAAGATATGTTCCTCCTACTGGATAATAGTACCTTGAATGCAACGATGGTGCGAAATTCAACAATGGTCACAATGGCCCAGTACCCTAGTGGCTATACGTTGCCACAAATAGTCATCGCTTCTATTATAGGTAAGTACCCGTTCAAATATTAACATTACTGCCAATTTAACAGGGTAGGCCATCTAGTGTTTATAATGAGAAATAGCGAAATGAGTCCGTATGAATGCTCACTAAGGTCAATTAGTCCAAGAAAGTCTCGGGACCATCTCAAAAAGTCATTTTTTCAGATGAAGCTCGTTTTCGTTTGGAATGTTATCTGCATCTGGGTATCAGAGAATCCACAGGTCGTTAAGAGAAGCAAATATATCCATAATAATAGACTGTTTCGTGCAGTTTTCTTTGAAAATGAACAAAACGCCCTCGTCTCATGTCATGGAGAGCGATACCGTGTTATGCTCAACAATTTTTTATTTCCAAATGCTAAAGAGAATGTCATGGACGACATTTGGCTTCTACAGGAGGGCGGAACTCCAAACGTACTTCAAAATTATGTTAATAGATGTGTTAATACCAGGCCAGCTGTGGTAATCATTTGAACGACAATGCGCTCAGTTCTTAAGTGTTCATCTTCAGCATCCCCAGTAAAACCAGAAATTAGAAAAAATGTAAAAACAGCTTCTTTTTTAAAGTCGCCACCAGCGGTGGCGTAGTGGTAGACGTCGTGGGTCGACTAATCAGTCGCCGTGTGCTGCGCGGGTTCGAATCCCGTCCTAAGAGAACTTTGCACCTGGTTATGGATATTCTGATTGTCCGTAGGTGGTAGACGGTATCTGACCGTCAAAGGTGGAGGTACCATCCGAAGGATCCGGTACCGATGGGTGTTTGGGCCTTGGGCATTCCTGGTGGTTCAGGTGTAGAAAAACAAGACGATACCAATTCCAAATTTTGAATAGCCGACTCATATAAGAAGGTAGTAGAAAAATTTGAGGAAACAGCTTAAATCAAAATATCACTTTCTAATAGCTACTTCCTCGACACTATCAACTGAATAGCCTTAAAGCAGTTGATCTGACATCTGATATTGTTACACTCAGTATTATACTAGGTAACCTTGTTTTGAATTTAGAAATATGGAATTCATTACAAGCACGTTCAGTGACATCTACAGAAACATTCAGAAGGGTGTCACAAATTCTTTCATCGATACCATAGAAATTCCGATACAGTTTAAAGAGTCTGAATAGGATCTCTGAGACCATGGCTAACTGTATACGAGTACTCCATCTCTTTACTAGCTACTTAGCAGGGAACGTAAAGTTATCATGTTGAGTTTTATTGCTTTTGGGCTTTAGATTGTTTCTTACTCTTCTTGACAATCACTGTTATCTCACTTTCTTCTACTATTTACATTTTTCATTTTGTTTCAGTTACGATATTGATGATAGTTGTGGTTGTTGGGAACATGCTCGTGATAATAGCAATAACAACAGAAAAAGCGTTGAAGAATATTCAGAACTGGTTCATCGCTTCGTTGGCGGTGGCCGATTTCTTCCTTGGGCTAGTGATAATGCCTTTTTCTCTTGCCAATGAGCTCATGGGCTACTGGATATTCGGACTTTGGTGGTAAGTAACTATATTCATTGTCTATCTACACCTAATGCACATTTTATCTACCGGTTACCTGGAATTTGAGGACAAAATCTAATTATTTCTGTCAATATTTGAATGGAGCAGTAATTTTACAGCGAATGACAATCAGATGGGATAAAATAATTCTAAATCTTGAACAACTAGAATAATCTACCATAATAATTCCAAAGCTATGAGACATTATACTTAATTGCTCTCGCCGCGATGAATTCTAAAAATGAACTGCATTAGAAGCGAAAATTCCTAATGCATTTTACGTGAAAATCCCTATAAATCTTACTGCCATTGAATACATGCAACTATGAGTTTTAGTGGATTTAATGCAAGCATTAACGTGGTATCTCAACTGGGCGTTGATTTTTATATATTATTCTGTCTAATTTTTTTAGAACCAATGTTAATCTAAATGTTCGCATACGCCTACTGCGCATTTAAAGGAGCACAATGGCTGATAGAAGCGCTACTTGACAAGAAATTGCATGTTAAATCCTTAATACTTTCTTGCTGCTTTATGATGACATGACAAAAGCCAACTTAAGCTCAAAGGCTTTTATTGCTGTGACTGCCTCTCGCATAACATTATCAATTCCTGATGTTCTGCCTTCAATCAGAAACAAAATATAACTTGAATTGTACATTCAAGAGTCTTAAAATTTTCATATAAGCCAGTAAATCCTCCACTAGAACTTTTTATTCAGCTATACAGCACATCCATGCCCTGGTCCCTGTCCCTGATGTATTTTCCACACCAAAATCTACGGTTTCGCTTACTTCGTTGCGTTCAGGAGGTGGGCAGATACAACGCAGTTTAAAGTCAATTTTCTCCATACGATGGTTCTGTTACATGACACCTTTATCAACTTGTGTCTTCAGTTGTAATTATATTATACAATGTTAGCAATGGTAAATAATAGTAGTAAGGTCGCTTGCGTTTATGCAATGCCTGTAGAAGTGATTTTTAAGTCATTAAAATAGGTATAAATATAGAGACCTATTATTTATACATGCAAACTTATAGCTTAAGATTAATTAGGAACATTTCTAAAATGAAACTAACTACATTCTGGAAACAAAACCCACATATTTGACTGATTTCATTCAGCTCGTCGACTGCATCGTAAAGTCAATATTTTGATTGACCATGCCGTTATCGATAAAGTATTACATTACAAGAGAACATATCTGTTTGTTTTTAAGCAAAATGTAGCCGAATTAGACAACCTTTCCAAAGATGCAGCACTTTTTTTATATATCCTCTTCTATCTTTAAAAAATGAACAATAACCAATCTTTCTCTAAAAATATTCAACATAAATTTATGAATTTCTTTATTTTTAGCGTGTCCAACCGGCATGGGCATCATGTAAAAAGCCTATAAAACGTCAAAAAAAACCTATAAGATGTCATCTTGCAAACTAGTTAGTTTTTAGGACGCAAACAGTCATTCCAAGTTTGCTCACTAGGATCGTTGTGAACGTCCAACTAAGGAGGAATCACTCAACTAAACTACGCGCATTATTAGTTGCATACGTTTTTTGAGGCCAAATGGTCCTTGTCTGTAGTTTTATCTCTAAGAACAAAATTGGTTGAAAGCAAGATCGCATCTGGATGATTATGTGTATTGGTCTGCATGTGTATAAAATCAGTGATATTTGCTGTGTGAGAAAATCATTACTGAATATGCTGCCTATGAAGTATATCTATTGGGTGGGTTATTTTTATGTTGTGCTTTCTGAAGAGAGGTTATGTTCAAAGTTATAAATTACGAAAAGCTGAGGAGAATTATGTGTGTAATTACTGTTAGCATGTATATGGCTTGTAATTCGACAGAGTTGCAGTGAATATAAATATTTCTTATCTCTCTCATTTTTGAAATTCAGCAAATTTGTATATATAATTTCCAGAATGGATAAGAAAAAGTGGATGAGTAGCTAATTTTTAGCTTTGAATCTCAATTAAGTGTATTTGAGACAAGAACCCAATGTAATTATCTTCAACACATACTGCTTAGACATCCAGTAATGCCATCTCAGAAGCAGATTTTACATCACATCAGAGCCAAAGATTGATAACAAGCCTCATGACATGTAGGCAACACGAACAACTAAGTGCTAGGTTAATATCATGTAGAAAAACCTACATAATGTCAAAAAACCACCATAATGTCCAAAAAAAAATCGGCATAACGTCACTTTTCAAGATACGTGATACCCGTGCATATCACTTTTGAATTCGCCCTGTATAAGGGATAATTGACAACACGTTATATTTTTGCTGGTGAAAGTTTTCAAGTTTCAAATCCGGTTTAAAAACATGAATACTCTGGAGGTCAAAGTAATGATCCCCCAGCGACTCTGATGATGAATGGACCCAGCCAGAAGCCAGAAATTACCATGGAATCAAAGGAATTGATGGCACTAGCTGTAGCAGACGAAAAGGATAAAACCATACAGCGCCTGACCCTGATCATCGAAATCCAGGCCCAGCAAATTAAGGGACTGACTGAGGGTCTATTGGTATATTGCTGTATATACTAGTAGTGATGGCCGAAAGACAGGTGTTTTGCAATAAGCAATTAGAAATTCTCAAAAAAGTACTCCACCAGTATACTCCTATTTTCTGTTGTTATTGAGAAGTATGAATCCTACGGATTTGAAGAATTTCAAGTAGTTGCGTGAAATTATCGTCGCATTACCGAATGCCAAAACCTGCATTTTGTCTCGTTTTTTGGCTAAAACATTTTTGCTATTAGTCGGATCTTTTCAAGAGTGGTCTCATTTTGTAGGTCTCACAAATACCTAAAAGTTTTTCGTTCCTGCCGATACTTTCGAATGATTCCCAAAAAAACATGTTTTCTCATTATTTGTTAACAAATCCACAGAAATTGGTGTACCCATTCCATGCATCCATGTTTAAAATATCCCCTTGCACAACTTGCACCAATAAAACCGGACTTCACAAAATTTGCTAATTTGATTAGATCAACTTGATTTCACTACCTACCGTGTTAATCATTTTTCAAATTTCACCACAATCGATAAGCTGCTGATTATAAAAGCTGCAACTGATAACCTAGCACAAGACAAACACATCATAAAACTGCTGTTCGTAGCTTCAGTAGTAGTAGCAGTACTAGTAGTGGTAACATCTATAATAAGGAATTAACTTCCATGGCGGCGATTCGAACCCGCCAGCCCCGCTGACCACCTACGAGTAGCTAACGAGGCTCCCTTTCTTAGTTTCATAAACTTCGTACAAAATACTGTCTTCGGATATGCGTAGAGACTAGTCACTGCTAAAACTAAATTTTCCGTGTTTGAAGGCTCTTCAACTACGGGTTACCCTTTATGAGAAAATCACAGCTAAAGCTGAACTGCCGTTCGTATTTAATGTAGATCACGCATTCCTTGCCTTTCCACCAAAAAGCAATCATGATTCAAAATCATAAAAATAGTGTAAGCCTTAGTCAAATATCACTCGCTCATGAGATATAAGTTGTTAAGAGTCGATTTTTACTTCCCCCGCCTGCTGGCAAGGAAGTATTATATTTTCTAGAATCAGATATGTTTTTTGGATGTTATGTGATATGTACATCACGTATAACCACGTCACTGATTTCCGTCGGTCTGTCTGCCTGTCGGTCTGTCCGCTAATCTTATGACCACCTATAACTTAACAAGTACCGCGCGGATTTCAATAAAATATTATGCCAAGGACATAAAAGCTTTGTAATTTTTGAAAATCGGTCCAGTGGCTGCAGAGAAAAAGGCCAAAAACGGAAGAAGAAAAATCGCTCAAACGTCGTTTTTTGACATTTAAGAGGGTACTGATCATTTTTGAAAAAAGTCTTAGAGGTATAAAAACTTGGGTGGGGTTATAGAGATGTGCAGTAAATAAACAGTAAAATGAAGGCAATAGAAACACTCCAGTGATTACGGAAATCAGAAGTTGACATTCCTCTGTTAACGTGCGGAATTTTACTAATGATCGTATCGTCAATCGTTCCTACAATTATTGTAGCACGCCTTTATGGCCTCCATGATTTCCACAGATTTCTACTGTTCCGTTCTAGCGCTCTATTCTGAGGTTATGTTACAAATATCTATTTGCATCAAATCGTTGTTGACTTATAACATCTGTTATTATGAGCCCGAAATATCATACAATTCAAAAAGAAAACAGTCCCACAATAGGAGAGTGCTGACGCTGACACGGAACAGGAGAAATCTAAAAATACCCCAGCGTTTCCGAAGGAGATGGAGAAGAGAAGGGGACTATCAAAATCAAGTGGACTACAATTGTGGGACACCTTTATAGCCTCCTTAATTCTCATAGTTTTCTACGTTTCAAGGAACAACTGACGAAGTTATGTTTGGCTGAATATTATCAATATCAAGAGTTTAATCTAAGCATGAGTTTTTTTTTGTGAATGTTAGCCACCGCTCACGTAATTATAAGCGTCAACCATTCTCCAATGAATGGAATAAATTATAGATCACTCCCGTTTTTAAGACCCTGAATACATATCCGTCGTAAATCAATATATAATTGCCGATTAAAATCGGCCAGTAAAAAATGTAGATCCATAAATTACTCCCCACATTGAGTTCACCCAATTAATTCTGAACATATCCGCACAGGATCCTATGAGCAATACGCTGACATTTTGCCATTAGCGCCGTGTTCATACGTAAGGCCCCTACGGGTGGATTTTTCAAATTAATTATCTTTTTCCGCGCATTTTTCAGTTGGTTAAGTTTCAACACATACCCGACAGTTTATCTAAAGCGATGGGATAGCATATTATTTATTTTCCGGATAAATGGGTATGTGGGGCTGGTTAGGTAGGTTGTGTCAGCACTAACATTCAATTACCTCACAATATTAACCGATATTCATGCGGAGGGTCTGGTGGACGGTTTATATATAGGTCATTGTAGAAAGGTGGCAAGTATTCTATAGATGCCAATTTATTCTT